TTCCTTCACAAAATAGGTATTAATTTAAACTATTCAAATTTCGGATTGTGTAATTGAACCGATGAATAATTTGGGTTGTACAGATTCTAAGTCGAATAACCCTAGTATATCAAATCAATACATAGATCTTATCCTCGCTGTTAACCATTCTCCCAATTGAATCAAAGTGAATCAAAGAGAGTTAATTTCAGTTTCTTGTTTACAAAAACTGAAGATCAAACCTAGAAGATCGCTAACGAATCAAAATTATATATACAGGTTCTTTCTTTCCATAATATATCATCCTTTAAATTCACATAAACCCTATCCTTCTAAATAGAAAGAATCGACGACCATTCAAAATCATAAACCTTAATTATTCAGATTGTTTCATTCTAGTTTTAAGAATCGACTTTAGAACTCATACCCATCAAAGGCTTTGATTTCACCTTTCAACAATGTCTTGTTCGAGAGAATCTGATTCCAATTCCCCTTCTCAATATAAAAGATGAATCACCAATGTCATTATATGAAGTAGATAGAGTGATTAAAATAACATGTACTAAAGTCTAGTCTAAAGAACCAAAGAGAAGTAGTTAATTAAAAAATAAAGGACATAAAGCTATTTTCCAAAAAAACAAACTCAATCTTTAGCTTTCAAAACAATATTCTACTAGTTCTGATTTTGTATAGTACAATATCTAATCATTCTGTTTTGTTTTGTATATGAGCTTCTAGTATACTTTTATAGTAATTATGAGTTTTGTATGCTAGAGTTAGTATTCTATCCATTCTAATTTTGATGATGAATTGCTAAATATCGAAATTGTTGATGAGTTTTTCATTGATTCTTGTTGATATTTATTTTATAATAGAAAAATTGATGAATAATTATTGAAAATCGATCATGTACGATAATCCTTTGATAATATAGAATTGATGATGAATTGTTGAAAATAAATGTTGAAATCTAGAAATTCCTTATTAGTGTATGTAAGAGAAAAAATGATCATGAATTGTTAAACATTGATGTTTAGTACAATATTCTAGTCATTTTGATTTTGAATAACATATTATTCTAATCATTTTGATTTGTGTAGTAAAAATTTCTAGTTTTTTGGTTTTGTGTATTAGCTTCTAGTAGAATATTCTAGTCCCTCTGGTTTTGTATATTAGAGTTAGTATGGTAGTCATTCTCATTTTTATGTTGAATTAATGAAATCGATTGATTATGAGTTGTTGATAATCCTTATGTAATAGCAAAATTTATGATAAATAGCAGAAAATCGATCGTTGTTTTTAATCCTTTAGTAATAGCAAAAATTTTTGATGATGAATTACTGAAAATCGATGTTTTTATATGAGATTACAAAAAATCAATGTCTAAAATCAATTATTTATGATAATCCTTAAGTAATAGAGAAATTGATGATGAATTGTTGAAAACCGATGTAATCTCGAAATTACTTATAGATGTCTATAATAGAGAAAGTGAAGATGAATTGTTAAACATTGATGTTTAGTACAATATTCTAGTCATTCTGATTTTGTATAGTATATTGTTCTTTTAATTTTGATTTGTGTAGTAAAATATGTAATTTTATTTTGTATATTAACTTCTAGTATAATATTCTAGCTATTCTATTTTGTATATTAACTTCTAGTATAATATTTTAGCCATTCTGTTTAGTATCATTATCATTCCCATTTTTATCATAAATTGTTGTAAATCAATTGCCAATGAGTTGATAATCTTATGTAATAGCAAAGTTTATGATAGATTAGTAAATTGTTGAAAATCGAAACTTGCTTATAATCCTTCAGTAATAACAAAATTCTTTGATGATGAATTGTTGAAAATCGATTTTCTGATATGAAATTATATAAAATCAATAAGTAATCAATCCTCTATGATAATCCTTCGGTAGTAGATAAATTGAAGATGAATTGCTGAAAATTAATGTTGAAATATCGAAATTCCTTATTGATGTCTGTAATAGAGAAACTGATGATGAATTTTAAAACATTGATGTTTAGTACATCTGAGCATTTCGCTTACAGGTTATTGTTTTGTTTCAGGTACATCTGAGCCCAAGAGCAAGGGCAAGGTGTGATGGCACGACGTGTATTCTTTCTCTCTCTTTCACTGATAGGAATTGAGGACACTCTGATGATTTGAATAAGTTTTAATGAATTGATGATTTGAAAACAATTGTGTTGGGATTTCACGGTTTATATAATTGTGTTTTATTAATTAAAAGTGATTTTTTTTTTAAATTTGGGTCATTACAATATGTGTTTATGATTAATCATCTACGATTGATGTAGTAACTAATGAATAATAGTGTATGTGACCAAATGGTTTACATTGATTATTAAGTGTTGGTAATCATTGTTAGTTGTGTTTAACAAACGTGTATATACTTTGGTATTAGGTTGTAATTGTTACATACATTGATGATTAAGCAATTATTTTGGATATATATGATAATCATATAGAAAATATTTCAACCAAGTTGTACATATTTTCAAATAATGAAATACTTCAAATTTGATTACTGTTAAACACATTTTGATTATGCTCAAAATTTTGTTTAGTTCATGAATACATAATTAATCTAAATTCATATTATGTCTTATTATTGGTTTTGTTGTCTAAAAAATAGGTACAAATGGATCTAATTCTGAAGATGAATCATTCAATAGTAATGCTGTTGACTCGCCTGGTAAGGAAAACCAAGCTGTGGAAACCTATTGTTCCTAAAGAATTTATGCCAGATGTAGATGCTACTTATCAATCATTAGAGGAGGTGGTTGAAATGTATAAATTATATGTAGATAAAGCAGGTTTTGGTGTCAGGTTAAATACAGTAACGAGGTTTGGTGACAAAACCATTAAAAAAAGGTATGTAGTGTGGACCAAAATGGGTAAAATACCTAACAGATCAACATAAACTTTGGATCCTGAGGGAACTTGAAGGAATAAACGAAACTCAAACTTCAGAATCACAAACTGCAAGGCATTGATAAATTTTGAATGACTACATATGGGAACTAATGCTTGTAAAATATTTTAGTTCGAAGCCACCCCCTAGATACTAAAGAAGAAAGATGGTATTCCAAATGTGCACGATGACTTCGTTATATAGAAAAGGAGTTTATAGTGCGTTCCTCAACATCTAACATTGGTGCAACAAAAGCACATAAGTTACAAGCTAGTTTGCAAGGAGGTTATGAAAATGTTGGCCCTAAAGTAATTGATTATAAAATTTTTAGAAGGAAGATGGGAAACATTATAGGTGACAAGGATGCACAACTGGTTGTTGATAAAATAAACATGTGGAATGATGAGTTACCTAACTATACATTTGAGTATAAATGTGTTGATAGTGTGCTAAACACAGTGTTTTGGGCCGATGAAACCGATAAGTTATATTACATTAAGTTTGGAGATGTGATCTCATTTGATGCTACATTCCGAACAAATAAGTATGATCTTATAGTTTTATACTTTTTACTTAAAATATGAATACTGTTTTTTTTTGTTTATAATAACTGTTGAATTTGTTTTTAATTAACTTTTTAATATAGGTATGGAATATTTTTGTTCCGTTTACAGCCATTGATAAGCACAAACGTTCAATAAACATTGGAGCAGGTTTGTTAAGCAACGAATCAATAGAATCTTATCGTTGGTTGCTTGAAGCTTTTTTGAAAGCACATGGGAAACACCCTCAATTAGTGTTAACGGACCAAGATCCAGCGGTTCTACAGGCGGTAGAAGTAATATTTCCTAATTCTAATCACCGATTATGTATGTGGAACATTATGAAAATACTACAAGCTAAGGTGTGTATATTTAATTCATAGTTAACACATAACATGTTTTATTCAACAGTTTATGACATGCATTTACGATGCACTTTTGCGCATCATTTATTAACGACGCGCATTTATGACATGCATTTACGACGCACAGTTATGACACACAATGCGTATCTTAACTGGCCCTGTCATAAAGGAAGACGACATGCATTTATGTGTCGTAACCTTACGACGCGCGTGTTTATGACATGCAATGTAGGGCTGTCAATTCTCGACACGACCCGCGACACGACACGAAATAAATGAGTTTGGGTTGAGTTTTTCAACCCACCAACCCGCTAACCCGCCAACCTGTTTATTAAACGGGTCATATATGGGTTTCTCAAAAAATAAACGGGTTGACCCGCCAACCCGTTTATATTCTTAATAAAAAAGTTATTTTATTTTTAAATGTATTTATGTATCAAGTATAAATATTTAATAAGTATTATATAATATATACCATTGATTCATAGACAATTTGACTGTTTTGACATTTTGAGTCGTGGTGAATGGTCTAAGGTCGTAAGTCGTAACCTATAAGGCTAAGTCTGTAACATGTTTCTATGAATGTTTATAATTTTCATTTGGATGTTTAAGACTTAAATGTCTAAAATTCGAACCCACGAACCCAAATTTGACCCACAAACCAGCCAACCTATGAATCCGTATAAATAAATGAGTTGGCGGGTCATATATGGGTTTATATTCCAAACCCGCCAACACATGACCCGCTAACCCGTGACCTGTATATTTAAATGGGTAGTGTTTGTGCTGACATATTTTGACCCGCCAACCCGCCAACCTGCGACACGTCAACCCGAACACGACACGATTGCCAGGCCTAATGCAATGCGTATCAATGAAACCCTTGTCATAAAGTAACACGACACACATGTTTGCGTGTCGTAACTTTAAATGTTTTTAGAATTATATATTTTTGATAGATTACTAATTTTTAAATTAAATAAAACATTAAAAGTCTCATAATACAATATAAAATACCATAAACACTAAAGATAACTCATTGCATTAATATGTCAAATACACATAATCATTCCAATAGTAAGTAAATGTAACACATTGCTAATATTTCATAATATTTAATATAGAAAATAAAACATGTACAACATTAAAAGAAACCCATGACTAAATTCTCATTTGGCAATCTCCTTTGACAATTTCTTTTCTAAGAGAATAACCTGAATGCATGAACTTTGAGAGGCAGCAGGGCATGGAAGGAGGTTGCTAGAGCTGTCAGAACCTGCATAGGGCAAATCGGTAACTTAACATGCAATACAATACAAGATGACATGATAGAGAAAAGAGAAAAGTGAATACACACCTGAAAGTTTGCACCTTCAAAAACCGGATCAAGGGTACTAAGGTCAAGCAACCAATCAACGAATAACTTGAAATATTGTCTGGGGTTGAATGATGTTTGCTTCTCCTCTGCATCCTTTTGAATGAATCTCACAGTCACTGCTAACACCTGTTGAAAAAAAATGTCAAATAATCTACTGTCCAACATATATAACTAATCACAAGTCTTGATTGTAATTCGCAATTCTAACCTTTGACAGAAGAGACAACTTTCTTACCCCATGGTCAACAGAGGAGAACTAGCCATATAAAGAAGAAGCAATTATGTTGATGAAAAGCATATATATATATATATATATATATATATATATATATATATATATATATATATATATATATATATATATATATATATATATAGAAACAAGAGACTGACTATGAATGTTACAACTATGCATCACCTAATTTTCGTGTAATTTCTGGACTAATTTTCCTCTTTGATCCCTTCCTCCTACCAGAAATCATATTCGTCAAAAATCACAACTTCACTATAATTTATATAGGTAGCAACAAGAGACTAACTATGAATGTTATAATTATGCATTCATTATATATATATATATATATATATATATATATATATATATATATATATATATATATATATATATATAGTAGGACTAAGAATCAAGACTGAAAAGAAAGTCGAGATGATGGTATACCTTTCTTGTTCTTCTAATTCCATATGTCATTTTAGCCAATAATTCTTCAAAGTTTGCTCCAGGGAAATCCTTTTATCTCAACTTCTTTTCTGGTGGCATCCTAGCACAATTCACACACTTTCTAAATGTTATTTTAGATAGTATCATAAGAAGGGTTTCCTTCAACTTCCTTTTTGGTGGCAATTAGGGTTTCCTTCAACTTCTCTCACTTTGTCCATAAGAAGGGATGATGGACTTACTTTCATCAAATCAACATTTACATTCTTGAACAAAACCTGAAAGGCCACAATAACAATAGTGAATATAGTATATTATCGGAATTGATGTGGTTACTAATTACATATATAGGACTAAAAGGATGAAAAAGCAACATACTAATATTTTTGGGATAATAAAAAAAATTAACAAAAGGGAGTCCATTCATGAAAAGGTAGTCATTTTCTTATGTGAACCTTGCCGAAACTGGTGGTCATTTTATTTACAAGGTCAAAAAGGTAGTCATTTTCTTATGTGAACCATGCCAATTTGGTCATTTCTGTGATTAGTCCTTCATGTTTTTGTTTATTATAGCATCTTGCTAGTTACTATCATTTTTTCTAATACAGCATTATGACTTCCACATTTTCTACATAAGACATTGTCCTTTGAAAAATCTACCCAACTACATCATTATACATTCGATCTTTTTTCTATTTAGGACATTGTTTTTCGAAAAATCTATCCAATTATAGAGGTGAAAATTGCTTTGTATTTTGACGATAATGCTATAATTGAGAAGTTTTAATTAAGTACAATAATGTAATAAAAAGAAACAGAGGTACAAGGCTATTATAATCTTTCATTCCTTTGATAAGATGGTTAGAAGCATAAATCCAAGACTCTGTGCATATTATCTTGATCCATGTTGAGTGCACCACTTAAAGCTCTCAGGAAAAAGGAAGCGTCAGCATGCCAAAGATGGAGCAAAATGCCACTAACAGAAGATTCTTTGAGTATCACAGGAAGAACACCCAACGAAACTTCATGTTGCATGTCATGAAATCATTTGAGGCTTAATGATGATCTCTTACATGTTATAGCGAAGGAGATGCATGTATGGTCTTTTGGTTTTTTTTTTTTTATTAATTACTTTTAATAGTTTATTTTAATTAATGTGCTTTAAAATATTAATAACTTTTTTTAAGTACAAAATTACTCGTTCTTGCCATTAATATTTTTTTATTGTGTTTTTTAATAAATCGATCTATTATAATTTATTATATTCTAACTGAATATATGATTTGATTTTGTAAATTTATCGGTGTTGTTCTTTTATCTTAGTATTAGGAATAATCAATAATGGTGGACAATTACTAAATAACAAGATTATTGGTGTTGTGCTTTCATAATAACTGTTGAATTTGTTTTTAATTAACTTTTTAATATAGGTATGGAATATTTTTGTTCCGTTTACAGCCATTGATAAGCACAAACGTTCAATAAACATTGGAGCAGGTTTGTTAAGCAACGAATCAATAGAATCTTATCGTTGGTTGCTTGAAGCTTTTTTGAAAGCACATGGGAAACACCCTCAATTAGTGTTAACGGACCAAGATCCAGCGGTTCTACAGGCGGTAGAAGTAATATTTCCTAATTCTAATCACCGATTATGTATGTGGAACATTATGAAAATACTACAAGCTAAGGTGTGTATATTTAATTCATAGTTAACACATAACATGTTTTATTCAACAGTTTATGACATGCATTTACGATGCACTTTTGCGCATCATTTATTAACGACGCGCATTTATGACATGCATTTACGACGCACAGTTATGACACACAATGCGTATCTTAACTGGCCCTGTCATAAAGGAAGACGACATGCATTTATGTGTCGTAACCTTACGACGCGCGTGTTTATGACATGCAATGTAGGGCTGTCAATTCTCGACACGACCCGCGACACGACACGAAATAAATGAGTTTGGGTTGAGTTTTTCAACCCACCAACCCGCTAACCCGCCAACCTGTTTATTAAACGGGTCATATATGGGTTTCTCAAAAAATAAACGGGTTGACCCGCCAACCCGTTTATATTCTTAATAAAAAAGTTATTTTATTTTTAAATGTATTTATGTATCAAGTATAAATATTTAATAAGTATTATATAATATATACCATTGATTCATAGACAATTTGACTGTTTTGACATTTTGAGTCGTGGTGAATGGTCTAAGGTCGTAAGTCGTAACCTATAAGGCTAAGTCTGTAACATGTTTCTATGAATGTTTATAATTTTCATTTGGATGTTTAAGACTTAAATGTCTAAAATTCGAACCCACGAACCCAAATTTGACCCACAAACCAGCCAACCTATGAATCCGTATAAATAAATGAGTTGGCGGGTCATATATGGGTTTATATTCCAAACCCGCCAACACATGACCCGCTAACCCGTGACCTGTATATTTAAATGGGTAGTGTTTGTGCTGACATATTTTGACCCGCCAACCCGCCAACCTGCGACACGTCAACCCGAACACGACACGATTGCCAGGCCTAATGCAATGCGTATCAATGAAACCCTTGTCATAAAGTAACACGACACACATGTTTGCGTGTCGTAACTTTAAATGTTTTTAGAATTATATATTTTTGATAGATTACTAATTTTTAAATTAAATAAAACATTAAAAGTCTCATAATACAATATAAAATACCATAAACACTAAAGATAACTCATTGCATTAATATGTCAAATACACATAATCATTCCAATAGTAAGTAAATGTAACACATTGCTAATATTTCATAATATTTAATATAGAAAATAAAACATGTACAACATTAAAAGAAACCCATGACTAAATTCTCATTTGGCAATCTCCTTTGACAATTTCTTTTCTAAGAGAATAACCTGAATGCATGAACTTTGAGAGGCAGCAGGGCATGGAAGGAGGTTGCTAGAGCTGTCAGAACCTGCATAGGGCAAATCGGTAACTTAACATGCAATACAATACAAGATGACATGATAGAGAAAAGAGAAAAGTGAATACACACCTGAAAGTTTGCACCTTCAAAAACCGGATCAAGGGTACTAAGGTCAAGCAACCAATCAACGAATAACTTGAAATATTGTCTGGGGTTGAATGATGTTTGCTTCTCCTCTGCATCCTTTTGAATGAATCTCACAGTCACTGCTAACACCTGTTGAAAAAAAATGTCAAATAATCTACTGTCCAACATATATAACTAATCACAAGTCTTGATTGTAATTCGCAATTCTAACCTTTGACAGAAGAGACAACTTTCTTACCCCATGGTCAACAGAGGAGAACTAGCCATATAAAGAAGAAGCAATTATGTTGATGAAAAGCATATATATATATATATATATATATATATATATATATATATATATATATATATATATATATATATATATATATATAGAGAGAGAGAGAGAGAAGAGACTGACTATGAATGTTACAACTATGCATCACCTAATTTTCGTGTAATTTCTGGACTAATTTTCCTCTTTGATCCCTTCCTCCTACCAGAAATCATATTCGTCAAAAATCACAACTTCACTATAATTTATATAGGTAGCAACAAGAGACTAACTATGAATGTTATAATTATGCATTCATTATATATATATATATATATATATATATATATATATATATATATATATATATATATATATATATATAGTAGGACTAAGAATCAAGACTGAAAAGAAAGTCGAGATGATGGTATACCTTTCTTGTTCTTCTAATTCCATATGTCATTTTAGCCAATAATTCTTCAAAGTTTGCTCCAGGGAAATCCTTTTATCTCAACTTCTTTTCTGGTGGCATCCTAGCACAATTCACACACTTTCTAAATGTTATTTTAGATAGTATCATAAGAAGGGTTTCCTTCAACTTCCTTTTTGGTGGCAATTAGGGTTTCCTTCAACTTCTCTCACTTTGTCCATAAGAAGGGATGATGGACTTACTTTCATCAAATCAACATTTACATTCTTGAACAAAACCTGAAAGGCCACAATAACAATAGTGAATATAGTATATTATCGGAATTGATGTGGTTACTAATTACATATATAGGACTAAAAGGATGAAAAAGCAACATACTAATATTTTTGGGATAATAAAAAAAATTAACAAAAGGGAGTCCATTCATGAAAAGGTAGTCATTTTCTTATGTGAACCTTGCCGAAACTGGTGGTCATTTTATTTACAAGGTCAAAAAGGTAGTCATTTTCTTATGTGAACCATGCCAATTTGGTCATTTCTGTGATTAGTCCTTCATGTTTTTGTTTATTATAGCATCTTGCTAGTTACTATCATTTTTTCTAATACAGCATTATGACTTCCACATTTTCTACATAAGACATTGTCCTTTGAAAAATCTACCCAACTACATCATTATACATTCGATCTTTTTTCTATTTAGGACATTGTTTTTCGAAAAATCTATCCAATTATAGAGGTGAAAATTGCTTTGTATTTTGACGATAATGCTATAATTGAGAAGTTTTAATTAAGTACAATAATGTAATAAAAAGAAACAGAGGTACAAGGCTATTATAATCTTTCATTCCTTTGATAAGATGGTTAGAAGCATAAATCCAAGACTCTGTGCATATTATCTTGATCCATGTTGAGTGCACCACTTAAAGCTCTCAGGAAAAAGGAAGCGTCAGCATGCCAAAGATGGAGCAAAATGCCACTAACAGAAGATTCTTTGAGTATCACAGGAAGAACACCCAACGAAACTTCATGTTGCATGTCATGAAATCATTTGAGGCTTAATGATGATCTCTTACATGTTATAGCGAAGGAGATGCATGTATGGTCTTTTGGTTTTTTTTTTTTTATTAATTACTTTTAATAGTTTATTTTAATTAATGTGCTTTAAAATATTAATAACTTTTTTTAAGTACAAAATTACTCGTTCTTGCCATTAATATTTTTTTATTGTGTTTTTTAATAAATCGATCTATTATAATTTATTATATTCTAACTGAATATATGATTTGATTTTGTAAATTTATCGGTGTTGTTCTTTTATCTTAGTATTAGGAATAATCAATAATGGTGGACAATTACTAAATAACAAGATTATTGGTGTTGTGCTTTCATAATAACTGTTGAATTTGTTTTTAATTAACTTTTTAATATAGGTATGGAATATTTTTGTTCCGTTTACAGCCATTGATAAGCACAAACGTTCAATAAACATTGGAGCAGGTTTGTTAAGCAACGAATCAATAGAATCTTATCGTTGGTTGCTTGAAGCTTTTTTGAAAGCACATGGGAAACACCCTCAATTAGTGTTAACGGACCAAGATCCAGCGGTTCTACAGGCGGTAGAAGTAATATTTCCTAATTCTAATCACCGATTATGTATGTGGAACATTATGAAAATACTACAAGCTAAGGTGTGTATATTTAATTCATAGTTAACACATAACATGTTTTATTCAACAGTTTATGACATGCATTTACGATGCACTTTTGCGCATCATTTATTAACGACGCGCATTTATGACATGCATTTACGACGCACAGTTATGACACACAATGCGTATCTTAACTGGCCCTGTCATAAAGGAAGACGACATGCATTTATGTGTCGTAACCTTACGACGCGCGTGTTTATGACATGCAATGTAGGGCTGTCAATTCTCGACACGACCCGCGACACGACACGAAATAAATGAGTTTGGGTTGAGTTTTTCAACCCACCAACCCGCTAACCCGCCAACCTGTTTATTAAACGGGTCATATATGGGTTTCTCAAAAAATAAACGGGTTGACCCGCCAACCCGTTTATATTCTTAATAAAAAAGTTATTTTATTTTTAAATGTATTTATGTATCAAGTATAAATATTTAATAAGTATTATATAATATATACCATTGATTCATAGACAATTTGACTGTTTTGACATTTTGAGTCGTGGTGAATGGTCTAAGGTCGTAAGTCGTAACCTATAAGGCTAAGTCTGTAACATGTTTCTATGAATGTTTATAATTTTCATTTGGATGTTTAAGACTTAAATGTCTAAAATTCGAACCCACGAACCCAAATTTGACCCACAAACCAGCCAACCTATGAATCCGTATAAATAAATGAGTTGGCGGGTCATATATGGGTTTATATTCCAAACCCGCCAACACATGACCCGCTAACCCGTGACCTGTATATTTAAATGGGTAGTGTTTGTGCTGACATATTTTGACCCGCCAACCCGCCAACCTGCGACACGTCAACCCGAACACGACACGATTGCCAGGCCTAATGCAATGCGTATCAATGAAACCCTTGTCATAAAGTAACACGACACACATGTTTGCGTGTCGTAACTTTAAATGTTTTTAGAATTATATATTTTTGATAGATTACTAATTTTTAAATTAAATAAAACATTAAAAGTCTCATAATACAATATAAAATACCATAAACACTAAAGATAACTCATTGCATTAATATGTCAAATACACATAATCATTCCAATAGTAAGTAAATGTAACACATTGCTAATATTTCATAATATTTAATATAGAAAATAAAACATGTACAACATTAAAAGAAACCCATGACTAAATTCTCATTTGGCAATCTCCTTTGACAATTTCTTTTCTAAGAGAATAACCTGAATGCATGAACTTTGAGAGGCAGCAGGGCATGGAAGGAGGTTGCTAGAGCTGTCAGAACCTGCATAGGGCAAATCGGTAACTTAACATGCAATACAATACAAGATGACATGATAGAGAAAAGAGAAAAGTGAATACACACCTGAAAGTTTGCACCTTCAAAAACCGGATCAAGGGTACTAAGGTCAAGCAACCAATCAACGAATAACTTGAAATATTGTCTGGGGTTGAATGATGTTTGCTTCTCCTCTGCATCCTTTTGAATGAATCTCACAGTCACTGCTAACACCTGTTGAAAAAAAAAATGTCAAATAATCTACTGTCCAACATATATAACTAATCACAAGTCTTGATTGTAATTCGCAATTCTAACCTTTGACAGAAGAGACAACTTTCTTACCCCATGGTCAACAGAGGAGAACTAGCCATATAAAGAAGAAGCAATTATGTTGATGAAAAGCATATATATATATATATATATATATATATATATATATATATATATATATATATATATATATATATATAGAGAGAGAGAGAGAGAGAGAAACAAGAGACTGACTATGAATGTTACAACTATGCATCACCTAATTTTCGTGTAATTTCTGGACTAATTTTCCTCTTTGATCCCTTCCTCCTACCAGAAATCATATTCGTCAAAAATCACAACTTCACTATAATTTATATAGGTAGCAACAAGAGACTAACTATGAATGTTATAATTATGCATTCATTATATATATATATATATATATATATATATATATATATATATATATATATATATATATATAGTAGGACTAAGAATCAAGACTGAAAAGAAAGTCGAGATGATGGTATACCTTTCTTGTTCTTCTAATTCCATATGTCATTTTAGCCAATAATTCTTCAAAGTTTGCTCCAGGGAAATCCTTTTATCTCAACTTCTTTTCTGGTGGCATCCTAGCACAATTCACACACTTTCTAAATGTTATTTTAGATAGTATCATAAGAAGGGTTTCCTTCAACTTCCTTTTTGGTGGCAATTAGGGTTTCCTTCAACTTCTCTCACTTTGTCCATAAGAAGGGATGATGGACTTACTTTCATCAAATCAACATTTACATTCTTGAACAAAACCTGAAAGGCCACAATAACAATAGTGAATATAGTATATTATCGGAATTGATGTGGTTACTAATTACATATATAGGACTAAAAGGATGAAAAAGCAACATACTAATATTTTTGGGATAATAAAAAAAATTAACAAAAGGGAGTCCATTCATGAAAAGGTAGTCATTTTCTTATGTGAACCTTGCCGAAACTGGTGGTCATTTTATTTACAAGGTCAAAAAGGTAGTCATTTTCTTATGTGAACCATGCCAATTTGGTCATTTCTGTGATTAGTCCTTCATGTTTTTGTTTATTATAGCATCTTGCTAGTTACTATCATTTTTTCTAATACAGCATTATGACTTCCACATTTTCTACATAAGACATTGTCCTTTGAAAAATCTACCCAACTACATCATTATACATTCGATCTTTTTTCTATTTAGGACATTGTTTTTCGAAAAATCTATCCAATTATAGAGGTGAAAATTGCTTTGTATTTTGACGATAATGCTATAATTGAGAAGTTTTAATTAAGTACAATAATGTAATAAAAAGAAACAGAGGTACAAGGCTATTATAATCTTTCATTCCTTTGATAAGATGGTTAGAAGCATAAATCCAAGACTCTGTGCATATTATCTTGATCCATGTTGAGTGCACCACTTAAAGCTCTCAGGAAAAAGGAAGCGTCAGCATGCCAAAGATGGAGCAAAATGCCACTAACAGAAGATTCTTTGAGTATCACAGGAAGAACACCCAACGAAACTTCATGTTGCATGTCATGAAATCATTTGAGGCTTAATGATGATCTCTTACATGTTATAGCGAAGGAGATGCATGTATGGTCTTTTGGTTTTTTTTTTTTTTATTAATTACTTTTAATAGTTTATTTTAATTAATGTGCTTTAAAATATTAATAACTTTTTTTAAGTACAAAATTACTCGTTCTTGCCATTAATATTTTTTTATTGTGTTTTTTAATAAATCGATCTATTATAATTTATTATATTCTAACTGAATATATGATTTGATTTTGTAAATTTATCGGTGTTGTTCTTTTATCTTAGTATTAGGAATAATCAATAATGGTGGACAATTACTAAATAACAAGATTATTGGTGTTGTGCTTTCATATTAGTAACGTTTGATTAGTATTCAATTTGTGATTTTGTATAGCGTGTAAATGTTTTTAATAATTATTTATGAAGTTCGTTGGATTATTTATAAACATAAACATTGAATTAAATAAAAAAAATAATACACAAGGTGGGATGATTATTTTTATAATTCAACACAACCTACGAAACATGTTAAAAATTCATAATTTTTAAATTTCACTGGCCAAACAGCCTCTAAGAATGATGATTATCGCCAACGAAGCTTAAAACCACACCAAGATTGCAGCAATTCGAAGATCTCGAAGACATCTGAAAGCATTCCAAAAAAACTGGCATCGCATGTAATATGATCAACCTTTGTTTCCATGTAACTTGAGTTGTAAAAGGGTCAAAACCATATCAGGAATTACATCGCCGAAGATGTATTACGATATTAGACTATTTAGAGGGGTATAATGGTCAAAAGACAGCCCTGCGATGATGAATGATGATGTAAGGAATAATAATCAAGCAAGTACGATCACTAAATTAAGGGGCAAAAATGTCTCCATCGATGACCATATTTTGAGGGAACATTATCATAAACAATAACTTCCATGTTTATGGCATTATCCTAGGAACCGACAAACCTAGACACTAAAAGATATTAAATGTAAAATATGGTAAGATTCCATACGCTCGAGGAACCACCATATTCTATACCTTTTCCTGGAAAAGTCATCACGTTGACCTCAATCCACATCTACAGAGTTGCATATTATCCATTGTCTCTGCTCAATCTTTCTTTTGATTTAGTAGGATTTGTCAAGCATACCTTCAATGGCATCTTCTTCAACATTCTTCATTCAGCATAGCTACAAGTATGATGTGTTCTTGAGCTTTAGTGGTGAAGACACACGTAAAAGCTTTGTTGATCATCTTTATGTTGCTCTTCAACGTCAAGGAATTCACACTTACAAGGATGATGAAAGTCTGGAGAAAGGGAAAAAGATTAATGTTGAGCTCTTGAAATCCATTCAAGACTCAAAATTCTACATCATTATTTTCTCAAAGAACTACGTATCTTCCTCTTGGTGCTTGGATGAGCTTGTGAAGATAATGGAATGTCAAAAAAATCCCGAGCAGATTGCTTACCCTGTGTTCTACGATGTGGAGCCCTCTGAAATCCGTAAACAACTTGGGGGTGTTGGAAAAGCTTTTGCCAAACATAAAAAGAAAGGAGAAGTCAAGAAGTGGAAAGAGGTTCTGGAAGAAGCATCAAATCTGGCTGGGTGGGATTTGAGGAAAACTGATGATGGGTAATTCTTTTATCATGTTTCAGCAATATTATTCTTGTCTTTTCGGAAACTGTTATGCAAAAGTTTCATCAAAATTTGTTTTGTAAAACTATGATTGTAAGTTGTATGATATATCGTTACCTAATTATTCATGTGGGATATTCTACAGGCATGAAGCTAAACTCATCAATAAAATTGTTGAAAAGATTTCAGTGGAGTTACGTTTCAGTAATTTGAATGTTGATGAAAAATTAGTAGGCATGGAGAGCCGGATAAATGATATTGTTTCATCTTTGGAAACTGGTGCTGAAGATGTTCGTATCATTGGGATCAAGGGGATTGCAGGTGGTGGAAAGACCACTTTGGCTAGAGCTATTTTTGACAAAATACACTTTCAGTTTGAAGGCAAAAGTTTTGTTGAGAACGTGAGAGAAGTTGCAAAAGCCTCATTATCCGGGTTGCAATCGTTGCAAGAACAAGTACTTTCCAATGTTTTGAATGATAAAAGAATCACTGTAGGGAGTGTTCATGATGGTAAAAGCATGATGAAAAAGATGTTGAGTGGTAAAAAAGTTCTTCTTATTCTAGATGACGTGGATGATATAGACCAGATGGATGCATTAGCTGGTGGGGTTAATTGGTTGAAATCCGGAAGTAGAATTATCATTACTACAAGAGATGAACAAGTGCTTGTAGCATACAGAGTTATGTGGATTCATGATGTCAGCCTGTTATCACATAAAGAAGCAATTTGCCTCTTTAGTAGGTATGCATTTGGTAGAGATATTCCAATTCGAAGGTACAACGATCTATCTCTCAAAGTTGTACATTATGCTGCTGGTCTTCCCTTAACGATTAGAGTTTTGGGTTCATTTCTTTGTGGTAAAGATGAGCTTGAATGGAAAGATGCACTCAATAGACTAAAAACAATTCCATTGAAGGAAACTCAAGAAAAGTTGGAAATAAGTTATACCGGCCTCGAGGATGATTATAAGGAAATATTCCTGGATGTTGCATGCTTATTGAAAGGTTGGCTGAAAGACGATGCAATTAGAGCACTTGAAAGTTGTGGATTTCATGCTAGGAATGGCTTGAGAGTTATTGAGCAAAAATCTCTCATGACTATTTCTCCTTATCAAAGGTTAGGAATGCATGATCATATAGCAGAAATCGGCCGAAATATTGTTCGTCGTCTACATCCTGATGAGCCCCTTAGACATAGTAGATTGTGGATTCGAAAGGAGATTGAAGATGTATTGGCCAATGACTTGGTAAGGATGAAGCTTACTTACATTTGGAAAAACTTAACAAGCTTTCATTAGTTGGGGAAATGACTTACATGCCCAATTAAGTTTTCAAACAATTCAAAAAACTCAATAATGTGTTGTCTGTTCAAGAAAACCCAACAAAGTTAACTTTTGTCTAGAAAAACCAAACGAAGGTTCTAAACCGTTCAAAAAGTCCCAATCATTTTTTGTCTGTTCAAAATGTTAAATTCATTGGATTTTTTTGAACAGATAAAACATGCTTGAGTTTTTTCAAACGGTTTTAAAACATCGTTGGTTTTACAAGTCATTTTCCCAATACAATGATTTCCATAGAATTGAATAAATATGTAACATAGTTGAACTTTTTTATACAAATGTTAAGTTTGTTTGTTAGGTTTTTCTAAACAGACAAAACATGATTGGATTTTTTGAATGGTTTGGAAACTTTGTTAGCCTCGTAAGTCATTTTCCCTTCATTAGTTATGAGTTATGACCAAAGTTTCATGGTCACTAGCTATTCATGGATTACAGGTTACGGAAGCCACAAGAGCTCTAGCAACCAACACATTTCCATGGGGTAGAGAGAAGAACCTCCGTTCGAATAATATTCTTACAATTGGTTTCGAAAACATGAAGAAGCTTAGATTTCTTCACATGGTTTCTGAGACCCATGATTTGTTTACCAAGGTTAAAGTTGGCAGAAACTTCCCAAATGCCTTACGCTTTTTGTGTTGGCAAGGATATCCTCATTTCTGTTTACCAAGAACATTTCAAGCAGATAATCTGGTTTCACTAGAAATGCCTTACAGCAGAATGGAACAACTATGGGAAGAAGGAGAAGGAAAGGTAGAATGGTTGATTCTTTCTTTTGCCTAACTCATTTTACTTATATATATCTATTGGTTAATAGTAACTGCAATCTTATTGATGTTTTTTTTTTTTAATTTTCTTCCTTTTGATAGGTTCTTAATAACCTCAAATTCCTAGACTTCAGTTACTCAAAATTGAAGACCCTTGATTGTGGCTTACTTCCGAATCTGGAGAAGTTAAAACTTGAAAAATGTAAGCATTTGGTTGAACTTCACACCCCGATTGGATCTCTAAGAAGGCTTGTTTACTTAAACTTAAGTCATTGCCATGGACTCGATTATATTTCATTTGTCAAGCAGCTGGAATCACTTCAGGTTATTGATCTTAGTAGTTTATATCTAACGGAGTTAATTCTGCATGATTCATTTTACTACTATACATCCTATTGGTTGCTTTTTACTGCAATACTAATCTCTTTTTCTTTCTTTGCATATATATATGATAGGTCCTTCAAAACCTCAGATTCCTTGACTTCAGTCATTCGTATTTAATGATCCTTGATTGTGGCCTATTTCCCAATCTCGAGAAATTAAATCTTGGAAAATGTTATTATTTGGTAAACCCTCACACGCCCGTTGGATGTCTTAGAAGTCTTGTCTACTTAAACATAAATCATTGCAGGGGATTCGAATCTCTTTCATTTATCAAACAGCTGGAATCACTTCAAGTTCTTGATCTAAGTTATTTATATCTATCGAAGCTCCCAGATATACTTCCTGGGCACTACAACTATAGTTTATTGGAGCTTAACTTTTCAAGGAACGACTTCAAAGAACTACCCTCATCAATTGGAAATCTTCAAAACCTTGTTTGTCTAGACCTTAGTTGGTGTAAAAACCTCAAGAGTCTCCCACAAAGCATATGTAGTTTACGATGTCTAAAAGACTTTGACCTTGAAAGCTCTGCAATAAAGGAATTGCCGGAAGATCTTGGCCATATAGAATGTTTAGAATTGCTAAATTTAAGGTCTACACCTGTCAAATATCTCCCTAACAGCATTTGTAAGTTGAAACATCTGAAAACTCTGCTCCTTGCATATTGTAAGGTTCTAAAGAAGTTACCCGAGAATATTGGCCTATTAGAATCATTGGAGGAACTAAGTCTAGCGTTTTGCAAGATAAGAGATGTACCGAGTAGCATCTGTAAATTGACAAGTCTAAGAGAGTTTAACCTTCGCTACTGTGATCAACTAGAGAAACTGCCCGAGAAACTAGGTGAATTAACATGTTTAAAGAAGTTAAATGTACAAGGTACTGGTATAACTCATCTTCCGTATGGTATTTCTTCGTTGAAAAGTCTGAAAATCATTGGATTTGGATCAGAAGATTCATCTATATACAACTATGTCTCGAGAAGAAAAACGAATAACCCAAAACAAGTTCCCTCTACCATGCGTCACAGATGATTTTGAGAAGAACCATTATAAGTATAAAGTATCTCTGAAGCCACAAAGAACCTTTATACATAGTGATCACCATGATTTTTAATAATTGTGTTTCTGTATATTTTAATTGTGTTACACCACTTTGGATATACACTGTCCAAAATTTACATATCTCACCTTACATGACACGGTCCAAAATTTATAAGTCCCACATTACATCACTTTATATATGTCATCCAAAGTTTATAAATTCTACATTACATGACTTTGTATATACACCGTCCAAAGTTATATATATATATATATATATATATATATATATATATATATATATATATATATATATATATATATATATATGAGTACAGTCAAATGAAATATCCTAAAAGATTGAGAACGCAAGAACACTTATCAACAAATCATTGAATTATGGCACATAAGTAATTTTGTATTTAATCTAATTAATAATTCATATAATATAATTAATAATCCATTTATTATCCATTATTATGTACCTACAATTAAGGGATATTTCATAATTATCATTGATTTAAGGATACAGTTTCTATCTAATTTACGGTTCTTACTTAGTCCATCGACAATTGCATCAATAACATCGATTATCGTTGAAGATAACAACCTATACGTTTGTTAAGCCAAATTAACACTGTCGGAGTGGTTTGATTATAGTAGCAACGATACCGATGATGATGATCAATATAGGGATCAATCAATCGACAATAATTAATATTATGAAGACGATTACTACCAATCGGATGATCAATCTAGTGGAAGAAATCAATACTCTGATAACGTGAGTGAAGGTAACATAATCAATATCATTTACATAGAAATCGTGTATTACAATCAGCAATGAATTTGGATATATATGATGAATTCTTTACGTTTATATAATGTTGTTTTTTCTGTTATTGTATTATAATGCTTGTACTTGATTGAGTAAATAGGTGTAACACCCAACTCAGGTATGACTTTATAGCCCTTGAACTATCTTGATTTTGGCATAAGAGACCCTTAAGTACACTGGGCGTACTTATGAGTACACTTAGCGTACTTGGTGAGAAGGAATGTGGAGGAGCAACACGTACGCTGGGCATACGTGCCAACATGTTCAAACACTAAAAACTGGACTTGAGACCTATATAAACACCCTTAACTCCTTTAAACCTCACCCTTATCTGCCTCATTCACCTTCAAACGCCCTGAAAAATCCTAATATCATTTGTGAGCATAGCTTGAGCTTTAAGAGTACATTTGTGGTTCTCTTAGTGTTCATCCAAGAAGAAGAAGTTGCCAAGAGAGTTGGAGTGTCACTTGGCTTCAAGAATCTGTTTATTGTCGACCTTGAGGAGCTCCTGGAGGTATAAAGCTTATACCTTTCCATTTCAATCACTAGATCTAGCTAGGGTTTTTAGTCTTGTCCCTTTAGTTGGTTTTGGCCCCTTTTCTTGTGAGTAAGTAACTCCAAAGGATGGAGATGACAAATCTAAGGTCCCTTAGTCCTTTCTCAACATAAAAATGTAGTTTTGGTGGGAGTTTTGACCTCATGCATGGGTTAAGAGATTCAAAATGGTCTTAATAAGGGTGTTGGGATCATTTGGGACATGTAAAGGCATAAAGTTGCCAACTTTATGCCTTGTGTCGTCTAAATAGGCCTAGATCTGACTTCTGGATGTATAATAATCAAGCATTAAGCACTTAATGGAAAAATGCCTAACATGTTAGTACGCCGAGCGTAGATCTGAGTACGCTGCACGTAAGTTCCCGAGACCCAGTACACCACGCGTACCAGGAGGTACGCTGAGCGTACGTGTCTCAGATGGGCTTGGGCCTGTTTTAGGTTTTTGGAGCTATTGGGCTGCACTTGGTTATTGGACTTCGTTGCATTTTGTGAATTACAGGTCATTACATCTATTTTGGGCCTTGGGTATACTGGTTGGGATTTAATGGGCCAAGAGGCCCATTAATGAGATTGAACTTAGACTTTGGGCCTATTAGTTAGGGAAGGATAAATGGGCCTCATGAAAGGTTTGAAGTTTGGGTTTCTTTTGACTACGTAAGATCTTGACTTTAATTTATTGTTATCTTTCAGCACGGGAGGTTTCAGGCTGTTAGGAGAGCAGTGTTTGTATTTCAGCAATGAGAGGTGAGTCTCCTCACTATACCAATGGGTCTAAGGCACCAAGGTCGGCCCATTATGTGACCATGATATATATATGTTAGATATTTTGTGTATGATATGCTATATAATTGTGTGTTTTGCATGAAAGACCACGGGAGAGCCCATGGCACTTGGATGTAAGACCATGAGGAGAGCACATGGCTTTCCTATCAAAGACCATGGGAGAGCCCATGGCACTTAGGTGTAAGTCCCTGGGGATAATCCCATGGCATCCTGGAGTAAGACCCTGGGGACGAGCCCACGACATCCTTATATGTTGTATGCATGGTTTACGTGATGTGTGTAGCTTTATTTAGCTAACAGGGGGTCAGTATGTGTGGTGTGGGGTATGCTCTAGGGAAATCAATAAGTATTTCACTTACAAGTTGTTGTTTTATTTCAGGTACATCTGATCCCAAGGGCAAGGGCAAGGCATGATGGCGCGGCATGTATTCTTTCTCTCTCTTTCACTGATAGGAATTGAGGACACTGATGATTTGAATAAGTTTTAATGAATTGATGATTTAAAAACAATTGTGTTGGGATTTCACGGTTTATATAATTGTGTTTTATTAGTTAAAAGTGAAAATTTTTCTTTAAAATTTGGGTCGTTACAATATATGTTTATGATTAATCATCTACAATTGATGTAGTAACTAATGAATAATAGTGTATTTGACCGAATGGTTTACATTGATTATTAAGTGTTGGTAATCATTGTTAGTTGTGTTTAACAAACGTGTATATACTTTGGTATTAAGTTGTAATTGTTACATACATTGATGATTAAGCAATTATTTTGGATATATATGATAATCATATATGAAGAAAATATTTTAACCAAGTTGTACATATTTTCAAATGATTAAATACTTCAAATTTGATTACTGTTAAACACATTTTGATTATGCTCAAAATTTGTTTAGTTCATGAATACAGAATTAATCTAAATTCATATTATGTCTTATTATTGGTTTTGTTGTCTAAAAAGCAGGGACAAATGGATCTGATTCTGAACAGGAATCCTTCAATAGTAATGCTATTGACTCGCCTGGTAGGAAAACCAAGCTGTGGAAACCTATTGTTCCTAAAGAATTTATGCCAGATGTAGATGCTACTTATCAATCATTAGAGGAGGTGGTTGAAATGTATAAATTATATGCAGATAAAGCAGGTTTTGGTGCCAGGTTAAATACAATAACGAGGTTTGGTGACAAAACCATTAAAAAAGGTATGTAGTGTGGAACAAAATGGGTAAAATGCCTAACAGATCAACATACACTTTGGATCCTGAGGGAACTAGAAGGAATAAACGAAACTCAAACTTCATAATCACAAACTGCAAGGAATTAATAAAGTTTGAACGACTACATATGGGAACTAATGCTTGTAAAATATTTGAGTTCGAAGAGAAGCACAACCACCCCATAGATACTAAAGAAGAAAGATGGTATTCCAAATGTGCACGACGACTTCATTATAAAGACAAGGAGTTTATAGTGCGTTCCTCAACATCTAACATTGGTGCAACAAAGGCACATAAGTTACAAGCTAGTTTGCAAGGAGGTTATGAAAATGTTGGCCCTAAAGTAATTGATTATAAAAATTTTAGAAGGAAGATGGGAAACATTATAGGTGACAAGGATGCACAGCTGGTTGTTGATAAAATAAACATGAGGAAAGATGAGTTACCTAACTACAAATTTTAGTATAAATTTGTTGATAGTGTGCTAAACGCAATGTTTTGGGCGGATGAAACCGATAAGTTATATTACAAGGAGTTTAGAGATGTGATCTCATTTGATGCTACATTCCGAACAAATAAGTATGATCTTATAGTTTTATATTTTTTACTTTAAATATGAATATTGTTGTTTTTTTAGTTTATAATAACTGTTGAATTTGTTTTTAATTAACTTTTTAATACATGTATGGAATGATTTTTGTGTTGTTTACAGCCATTGATAACCACAAACGTTCAATAAACATTGGAGCAGGTTTGTTAAGCAACGAGTAAATAGAATCTTATCATTGGTTGCTTGAAGCTTTTTTGAAAGCACATGGAAAACACCCTCAATTAGTGTTAATGGACCAAGATCCAGCGGTTCTACAGGAGGTAGAAGTAATATTTCCTAATTCTAATCACCAATTATGTATGTGGCACATTATGAAAATACTACAAGCTAAGGTGTGTATATTTAATTCATAGTTAACACATAACATGTTTTATTCAACAATGATTTCAATAGTTTATGTTTTCTCAAAAATGATTAGCATAGATCCTGTTTATTCATAGATCATCTTATCATCTTGTAATGTTTTTTTAGGTTTCAATGGATTTTCTAAAAAACACTGATTTTCGAAAGCGTTTTACTAAGCTTGTTTGGAATGTCTATATAGAGCCTAAAGTCTTTGAATCAAGTTGGAAACTTCTTATGAGAAAATTCAAACTACCAGACAAAAGATGGTTCAAAGACATGTACAAGGATCGAAAGCTTTGGATTCCAGCCTATTTTAAAGACATGCCACTACATGGTCTGATGAAAACTACTTCAAGGTCTGAAAATGTAAACTCGTGTTTTAATGAATACTCTAACTCAAGTAATTTTCTTATTAATTTCATCATGAACTACGACACCGCAATTGGAGAAACAAAATGGTCAACAGAAACTAGAACATGATACAAAAAATTCAAAACATGAAATAACGCTTCCAACTGGATTACTAGAACATGTAGTTGCAGTTTACACTAAAACCGTTTTCTATGAGGTCAAAAATGAAACATTTAAAGAAGCCTAGTACTGTTCAATTGACAGCGTTGAAATGATTGATGGGTGGCAAGTTGTTATGATTAGACAAACGGATAAGAGCAAACAGTTGAAGATAAACTACAAGGTATTATTCATATTTGACACCATATTCATTGATGATTACACAAGTATATAATATCATTTGAATTTAAATAAATAGTACTTGTTTAAATATTATGTAATAACCACCAACTAATATGTTAATTCAACCACTTACTGACATACATTATTATTCATCTACAATGTAGGTTGAACTAAAATTGCCTGAAAAAGAAGTTAATGTTCATGCAATCATTTTATACGAACTGGCATTTTGTGTCGACATATTTTTGTTGTCTTGAAAAAAAAAACATATTGAAGAGATTCCAGAGTAGTATATTCTCAGAAGATGGAGAATGGATGCAATTTCCAGCCATGAAACATGTTGCCATGGAAACAAAAGATGACACATTTAAACTTCTAACATAGGCTTACAGTAATACTGAATATTGCTTGGATCATTTCAAAAGAAGTAAGTAGAAATTGTTGGCTTTTGTTTAGAACACACGTATCTTGAAGCAGGCAACAATGGAATTTGGTTGTTCAAACCAATCATCATCTGATAATGAAGAAGAAGAAATTATTCGAAGGCTAGGAATACGCAATATTTCTGAAGAAATAAATATGCATCCACCTTCATAAATACGTACCAAAGGGAGTGGAACTAAAAAAAGAATGGTTAGTGCCACTGATAAAGCTATTGCAACTGCAAAGAAAAAACTAGAATTTGCACAGGTTGCAATCAATATGTTAACCATAATTGGAGGACTTGTAAAGTCAGACTTGCACAAGAGTCAAAACTACCTTAAAATGGTTGATAGATTTGCCCAATTGATTTTCTTATTTCTATTATATTTATGAACAATAAGATGTTTCTATGATTCATTTTGTTATTTTAAAACACTTTCATATCATTTATTGATTTATTTTACATGTTTGATTGTTGATATACTATTTCATGTTTGTTTTTAGATATATTTTAGTCATAAGTTTAACAACATTCAGCTTTTAACCCTTTGTTATATTCAATAATGAATACTATTAAAAATACATCAATGAATCATAATAGATTAATGCTATAAAAATTGTGAAATACTCTGTTATTATGTCAAAGCAGTTTTGGTTTACAATAGATTGATTTTTCCATTCTGGAAAATATAATATTAACATCAATCATTGTAGACTATTGATATACTCATTTCAGTTATAAAAAGATTTATTGTATTTAGTTAGTAGTATATCATATTAACAAATGTTTGTTAGTAAGAATCATAACTGGATAAATATTATAATCACAAATGAATAACATTATTCAATGTACTTTAAAACAACACATCATAAACTAACAATAATTTGCACATGATATCAATCATGTTCATCATAATGGTTTGACATAATATATTTCTTATTTAATTATTCAAAAATTAATGTAAAATCCTAACTATAAATAAAAAGTTGAAAATATTACTTATCATTCCATTACTAAATTAGCAAACCAAAAGGAACCATTGTACGTTCTACAAGCAAAGTTAATATTCTTAACATGCAAAACCATTGTTTTAAAGATATCCAAAAGAAACCATCAAATCTTGTGTGAATTTGTTCCTTTGCAATACTCAATAGTTCAGAGCGTTGTCTTGGAGGAATCTTGTGGAATTCATCAACCTTTTGAAGCATATAATCCTTATGCACATTATATTCATGAGTGATGATTTTGTATAACTATTTTGTCCTCAACTTAGCAAGTTGATCATCTTGTGTGGGAGACTTTTAACGACTCAAAAATCAAGGGTAAAAATTTCATTTTTAGTATAGCTAAAACATTGATACCATTTGTCCTAAACATTTCAAATCATCATTAAGTAAAACATTGATAAGAGTTTGTCCCAAAATCATATATTGTGGAAATATGGGTGTGTTCACTGCGGCCAAGCTGAGCCCTTCCTTTCCAAAATAATGATACCTGAAACCATAAAGAAAGATGTAAGCACGAAGCTTAGTGAGTTCCCCAGAGCATACCACACACACAATCCACATATCACATATCATATAATGTTAGCTATAAAAGCTACCTCTACCACATAATACATATCAATTAGCTATAAAAGCTACCTCTACCACATATCACATATCAATCAACTATAAAAGTTATCTCTACCACATAATACATGTCAATTAGCTATAAAAGCTACCTCTACCATATATCACATATCAATCAGCTATAAAAGTTATCTCTACCATTAGCCACAAGGCTATCTCTACACCTAGCCATAATGGCTATCTCTACCCTTAGCCATAAAGGCTATCTCTTACATTATTCTTAAAGGCTATCTCTACTATTAGCCACAAAGGCTATCTCTACCCTTGGCCATAAAGGCTATCTCTACCATTGGCGGTAAAGGCTATCTCTACCACATATCACTACATAAATATGCCACACACCTCCACACAACAAGTATACCAACTATCATAAAATGGGCCGACCTTGGCGTCTTAGACCCATTGGTATGGTGCGAAGACTCACCTCGCACTGCTGATGTCTCGTGGATAAACTCTAGCTTCTGGTTGATAGGTTCCCAAACTATCAATCATCAAACGAAACCCAATTAATAATTTGGTTACAATACAAACCATAATCTACACTTGGGGTAAATGGACCATTTTATCCCTAACCTGGCTTGGTTCAAAACCAAGGCCCAAACTCACACCCTGAAGGCCTAAAAGCCCCAAAGTCAACCAAGGCCCAATATATGGCCCAATTTTCCAAATTGGGCCCAAACATCTACATGGATTTATTTTAAGACCCAACCAATTATTCTAGTCCAAGTAGTTGGCATTCTGATGGTCCACTAAGGACCAAAGGCCCAAAGTCCACTACCTGGCCCACCCAAGGCCCAAAAAACTCCAAGCCCATCATTGATGAGTACGCGGGGAATACTCCTTTGTACGCTAAGCGTACTGGCTGAAGGTGGTATACGTTGCGCGTACTTGCATGTACACCTAGCATACTCCTCTATTAAGCCACTTTTCCAAAAAGTGCTTAATAATCTACTACAGAAACTACAATTACAGATCCAAGTCCTCTTTAACGTCTTAAACCATAAAGTTTCTTACTTGATGACTTTGCATGACCCATATAAGCTCAAACTCCAAAAATGATAAACTACTTCCATGGAAATGGTCTTAACTCATGCATGAACCAATAAAGACCTCCAAGATGGCAACTTTCTACCTTATAGACTCTTTTAACACTAAGAGTGGCAACTCTAAGCCTAAGAATCAGATTTCAACCATAAAGCTCCATCCTTAGGACCAAAAAGGTCCAAAAACTCATCATAATAGATCTGAGCATTTGAGGGACAAGTTTAAGTCTTTATACCTCAAGATGATCTGAAATGAAGCAACAATTTCGGATCTACAACTTCTCCTTTGAACCACCACTTTGCTTTGCTCTTCACTTGCTTGGGAAATAGATGCACAACACCATAATGCCCCTAATGGCCTCCAAAGCTCCAAGAACAGTCATGTGAGGATTAGGGTTTCATGGTGACTGCCTAAAGATCTAATGGAGGCTGACCAATGAGGCATATTATTCCTTTTATAGTGGCATAGCCCTAAAATTAGGGTTTATAAATTATGATCGTACGCTAGGCGTACGCCTCCAACACCTGCATCCACTTTACACCCCTATGTTGGGCATACCCCAGCTTATGCTGGGCGTACTCACCTGGCTGCCACCTTGAATGCATGGGCTAAAATGCAAACTTTTCCATTCAGGGACCAATTCTGCCAACAACTTTGAAGTACTATAACTTCTTCGTTCTAAGTCCGTTTCCGATGAACTTTATATTGGATTAAGT